ACCGTCGCGAAGCGAAACGGACGTTCACACGTTTTGGTAAAACCGCTCCCGTGTGTGAACGGTCGACCGGTCGTCCGGCGAGGACGGCCGCTCTCGGACATCAACGACCGCCGTCTTATCCGGGCTTCCCCCGCGATTTAATGACGAGGCGATAAGAGCAGAGGCGAGAGAGGCCTTCCACGGGGACGGCGTCAACGACTCCACGCCCCCGTCGGTATCCTTTTTTTCTCGCCGAAGACACGCGCGCAGAGAGCGCCTCAGGTAAGTCGGCAGGCAGGTAGATAGATAGGTAAACCGACCGGTAGAACAGGTTAGGTGCCTGCAAAAGCCGTCGTCAGAAACGTTCTTTTCATTTTCAATCTTTAACCTCTCGTAATTTTTCCTCTCGAATAAATGTATATTAAAAAAAAAAAAATTTTTTTTAGGTATTTCTTTTCGAGAAAAAAAGCGCAAAATGAAACGATTCAATTCATCATAATCCGACCTAAGATTGGAGATGATTAATTACTTAATTTATCCGTATAACAAATCAAACTAACAAAGACTCCTTATAAATCAAAAGAACTAGGAAAGAACATGGGCAATAGAAGTCAAACGCGGAAGACGTTGCGCTAATAAACAGCGCGTTTATTAAAAATAAAGAAGTATTACGCTTTATAATCGTATTATTTGCGCAACGTCTTCCGCGTTTGACTCCTATTGTCCATGTTCTTTCCTAGTTCTTTTTACTTAATTTAATTGTTTTAATGAGAACGGAATATCTTATAGATAGATAAGATTGACCTTGTATTTTATAAATTGATAAGGCTTCATGATAAACTAAAATTATCGTCTATTGGAGACAGATTCTACTTGATGCTCCGAATACCAATTGTTTCAAATATTGATACCTAATTGTTTTTGATTAGAGTTCTTATATCAGAGTCTAACCACGAGCGATTTTATTAAAATTCTATGAGAGAGAAAAGTGTATATAATTTCTCCCTATATATATGTATATATATTATCTCACTCTAACTTATATCATCTTACTCTATATCTTAATTAAAGTTATAGATTTATCTCTTACTTGAGCCTCAATTTCTATTAAATTATTTTAAAGTTATAGAGTGAATTAGTATAAGTTAAAATGAGATAGTGTATATACAGGAAGAAATTATTGCCAGTATTCATAGTCAGGTATTACATGTATTTAAGGGGATGCTGGAGTGACCAAATTATCACATTACAGTCGTATAAAAGTCTTTAAATTGACTGAACGGAATAAAAAATCCTTTTACAGGATTAAAGTAGACGCAAAATTAGGAGGTGGTGCAGTGTACTAAAATCGAAAAAAAGTTAAAAAATTGTTTAACATTCTTTCGATTTTAGTATAAAATCCACTGCACCACCTCCGAATTTTACGTCTATTTTAATCCTGTAAAAGGATTTTTTTATTCCGTTGAGTCAATTCGAAGATTTTTATACGATTGTAACGTAATAATTTGGTCACTCCAGCATCCCCTTAAGATTTCCTTAAATTTATCTTTAGGTGCTCTAAGACTTATTTTATTGGCTACAGAGCATCTAAAGATAAACTTGCTTTAAATGTAAGGTTTGCCTATAAATACGGGTATAAATCTTTCTCATAGAATTTTAACAAAATTATTCGTGGTCCGACTCTGTTATAAGGTCTCCTACTGTTAGCTATAAAGTGCCAAAACAAATTCTGCGTTCGAAATAAAATGTCAATATTTTGTCGGTCTATATTTATTTCGAGCTCCTGCAGTAAATCCATACTCTCGTACTCTCTCGTACTCTCTCGATCGCGAATTCGGAACGAGACCGCGTTAAGTGATAGCTTGATACAGTTGATACTGATAGATGCTGAATTATTGATAGGTAACTGCGGTGACATCATTTATTGACGTGCTATTTGTCTTTGAAATTGATTTGGAAAATAAAGCGCGCATCTGATCGACTATATAGAAGATAAAATACAATTAAAAAGAAATAGATTATCATTGTTGGCGTTGAACGCGACGAAGCGAGGAACGGTAGGATATCATGGTGTTCGTTAATAACGTCTCGTGTATCACTGATTCTATGCTGAATTTTAATTAACGCGAACTGCGCTTGCGTTAATTAAAGGATATTTTTACACTTCATAGGTACATAGATACATAAAGCGTTTATTAACGTTCTAGGACAAACCTTTTAAGAACGTACAAAAAAAAGAAATAAAAGCAGTAATAAATGCAAGGAAAATGAAAAATAATACTTAAGAAAATATAAAAGGAACAAAACATAATGCAATTAATTGAAAGGAAGATCATCCTGCTATTTTAAAGGCGGTCAAACTTCTATTAACTTATTCAGCATATTTATTTATTTACTTGCTTATTAATAATGTAATAACTTTATATTCAATAAAGGATGATCTTCCTTCCAATTAATTGTACTGTGTTTTGTTTCTTTTCTTTTTTTTATATATTATTTTTATTTTCTTTCTAATAATTTTATATTCAATAAAATTATTATTATTATTAATCAGCTATTAACTTATCCAGTAATAATATTTTGAGACGGTAGAATTATAACTTTCTGTTAATTGCACGTTGGAAAAGATATAAGAGATTAGAGAGACAACAATTAACATAGTTAAAAATGTCACTTCGAGCCATTCTGCCGATCAAGTTAATTAAGATTAATCGGAGTTTAATCGCTCAAAAGTCGTCCCGAAGAAAATCTCGGAGGAGGTCTCTCCCAGGCCGCGCGCAAGCGCATAGTTTACAACATTCCCCGCGCATATCGGAGCTTGTTGCTTTCGCTTATTGCCACGCGTTATGTTGTATGTATTTTCCGGTAATATAAACAATACAGTAAATAAAATAAATCAAGTAAAAAATAATTGGCTACCTCTAAACAAACTATAAAGTTCAATTCAATTCGAAATCGAATAAATACGTTAGGGATTTATAGAAAGTGAGAAAATAATGCAGAGCTTTTATAGTACAAGCAATATCGTTTTCTGAAGCTCGATAAGAAGCTCTGCTAGACGATCGTACGTGACGAACGTGAATCATATGGGAATGTATAAAAGCGCACGTACCATCGTAGATGCCAACACGTTTGCATTCGTTTTTGATTCTCGTCATTTTAACAGCGCTGCTCTGATCTTCGCTCGTGAAGAGATTTTCTCAACGCGCTGAAGTTGGCCGCACCTCCCGGTCGCTCCGTTTCGCGCGTTCCTTCAAACGCGCCCGCGGCCGCCCGGCGTTCCTTTCCCGGTCGTTCCCCCGTTTCTTCGGCCAATCTTACGTTCTCCCCACCTGGCCCACTTATCGTATTGATTCAAACTTAGACATCCGCGTTTAGTTCCCTCATTTCGCCGAAGCTATCAACCGATTATTCTCATATTGCTTCCTGAATCGGTCTATTCCGGTTCTGTAATCTCGATTTATTGAATCATTGAGAATAACTAAACGATGCGATGCTCGACACTGCACTCCGAAAAGATAAATGTTTATTTTTCAGATTCCTTGAAAAACAAACATTTCTAAAGAATGCATTATTATTTTTATAAATAATATTCAGGATGTTTGGAAAATTTTTGGACACTGAAAATTAAGAGAAAGGAATTATTTCTTATTAAATTTAATCGATTTTTATTAAATTTTTTGTAAATTTTATGTTAAACTTATCCTAGACAACACTTTAAAATTTTTAGAGTGAGTCTCACTCAAAAGGGTGAAATCTCACTCTTAAGGATTGAAAATTAAGCCTTCTTTTTCAAGACTGGCTCAATTTTTACTCTTTAGAATGAGAGATCCACTCCAAAAGTTTTAGAGAATATGGTTTGCATTAACTTTAAGATAGAATTCTATTTACAATTTTATGGGCCATTTATTCTTATATGTATTTAAATATTTCATATGCATGTGTATTCTGATTCTTCAAGTATTTTTCATATTACATGGTCCATGAAATTATTAATTGAATTCTATCTTGAATTTTAACATAAATCATATAATAGATAAATTAAAAATGAGCTTTATGTATAACGAATTTGTGTCCCCAAATTCAAATTAACGCCTTAAATTATCTCAATTAAGATTGCGTCACAAATAAATCATTGTATTGCAAAATTTAGCACATTAATTTGAACGCAATGAAAATAACGTGAGAAGCACCGAAGTTTATGGGAAAAAAAATAATCCTCGAGCGAACGAACGATCGGTTTTAAATCAATTACATCTTGGGATATCGGCGTTCCCTAACCAGGTCAATGGTTTACGTAAAACGGATTATATCATCACGGTTGAACAGCTTTGAATTAATTCTTTTTCCGAAAATATAGCTTTCATGTACATATATATCCTCGCAAAAGAGTCTAAACTGAAGAGTCTGTTATGGAAGCTAATATTAACCCTTTGCGGTTCAAATTATCTCTCATGAAAGAGCAAAATTCAAATACTTAATTTTCGATTAATTTAATTTAAACAATTTAATAATAAATCTTATCAGGAAGTGTAAATAATTATGTATGTAATTAGTGGTGTCTTATCCTTCTTTCAGAAATGTTTCAATTTTTAAATATCAAAGAAAAAAGAAACAAAAGATATCAGATTAGAAATAATTTATGTATTTAAATTATCACTTAAATTATAGTATAATTTTAATTATCAATTCTAATTTTTAATTAAAAATATTTTTACACGGAGAGAATTTTCTTTTAAAATTTACCCTGAAAATATGGTAGTTGTGGTACAATACAATATTTTAAAGATTTTTACCATGCACTTCAATAAAATTGATCAAATTTATTTTATACCTTATTTTAGTTTTATTAATGAATGAGAGAGATTTATATTAAAATTCTTTGAAATACAATGTTGTCCCACGACTGTCACATTTTCAGATTAAATTCTAAGAAAAAATTCTCCGTGTACGCAATTATATTACAGATTCATATATGCGGATCGAAAACGCTCGTATGTTAATAACACGGTATGTTTCCCTAAGACAAATACATGGCGTGTACTCTCTAATCGTTACTAATTAGCTCTTTCCAGTTCGTCATTAGGCCTATGATGAACAATCTCATCACGACGCAGCGTGACGCATCCTATACGAGCTATGAATTAAGAACAGCTTCGCCAGTTGCGTGTTACATGCGTTACACCAAGTGTTCTATCAATTCGCGGCGGAATGTATTACTTCGAACCAGAGTTAATAAAGAACATAATGAAGCAATGTTAAATGATGTCGCAGCTTTCTAAATTATTCTGTTAAGACTCTTTATGACGTTACTAAAAGATTCATTTTAACGGAAGTTGTCACTATTTTGGCACAAGTAATGTGCCAGAAATGCACAGTAATATCTCATGCGCTATTTATTTGAAATATAATAAAATCGTGGCGCCGCGCTGTCGTAACGCATATAGTTACTGCGGAATATTCGTGCACGAGGTAATTCTTTGTCATCTAATGAATCTACGATTAGTCACTTCATCGACCTTCACTTCACGCGTACTCGCCGATCTTTTATACCGTGCATAAATTTACCGCAATAAGAAAAAAAAAAAGAAACAACGCAGTGTATGTTGGTCCTGAGCGCAGAATCGTATCGCTCGTTACGAAACAATTATAAACGATCGCGAAGAAGCGCGCAGGAAGATTCGATGAGAAGACGCATCATCCGCTCGTTTTTCGCAGTGAAAATGGCAGAGGAAGGTGCGGGTGGATCGGGAAACGGGAGCAGCGGCGAGACGAGCCGTTTGCAGCTTCTGCAAGAGATGCGACAGCAGAACTTTGACACCATACGATTCGCGTCGTACCGCACCGCCTGCAAGCTGAGATTCATACAGAAGAAAGTGCATCGTGAGTATGCTCATTTCAACATTACTTGTGTACAGACTTTTCAGAAGTAAAATAAACTTTTCATGGAGAAAAGTAAAAAAATTGAAATTAATATAATAAGAATACTAATTATTATTATATTAATTTAATATAAAAGTTAATTATATTACAACAATAATTTTATTATATTTGTTTAATATAGAAATTAATAATACTTATAAAATACAAATTATAAATATGCTCTGGTATTAAAACTAAAAAATTTATGAAAATTAGAGTTGATCAGTGAACTTGTTAAAATACTCATCATCTCTATTTCTATCCCTTTGATGATTAATAGGGCAAAGATCTTTAAGTCACGACTAGGAGATTAACTAAGAAATGCTAATTTTCTCACATTTATATGACTATGCTAATGATAATTAACAGTATTTTGATGTCAGCGTCGGAATTTAAAGAGAACGTGGCGCTCAGGCTTGCGTTAATTAATGTTGTGAAGGTAAATGTCAAGGTATGTACCTTTTTAATAACGCATGTATAATTTTATGCAGTGCACAACGTCGATATATGGAATGTGATCGAGGCATTTCGAGAGAACGGTCTGAACACACTGGAACCATCAAGCACCTTGGGAGTATCCAGACTCGAAACACTACTGTCTTCCCTGTTTCACGCGCTGAACAAGAGAGTACCAGTCTCGCAACAGGCCAAAGTTGACGCTACTACAGCATTGTTGATGAACTGGCTGCTGGCTGCTTATACCAGCGGGTACGCTTGATAAGATAAATAACCGTTGTTTTTTTTTAATAATTATGCACATTAGCGACTTTTTCGAATTTTAACATTTTTCAGTTTCTGTTTTCAGCTATTGATAACAAATTGTTATGACTCAGAACAATGATAATTAACCAAGGGATCAAAAAATATATAATCTACCTGTTTTTTTAATCATTTATTTCCAATATCGCTTCTATGGTGATTTATTATATGCATTCGCGATGACGTAAAATTACTAGAAATAAATGATTAAAAAAAATAGGTGATTATATACTTATATATATATGTAGGTTTTTTATTAGATATGATTGTTGTCAGCACCCAATTAAACCGTGTGATTTTTTTACAGAGAGAACAATAAAATATCCGTGTTCTCAGTGAAGGTAGCCCTGGCAACATTATGCGCGGGAAAGCTCATGGATAAATTTCGATGTAAGTAGTTTCTTCATTCTCTTACAAGGGAACTGTCAGAACTGTCCCTCACTAATTTTGGTGGACTTTGTTGTAGAGCATAAAAAAATATTAGTGATCCATTTTCTTTATCTGTTTATCTGAAGGTTTAGAGATTGAAACAATTCCTAAACCTTGGGAGTAAATTAAATATTTTCGAAAAATGTGACTACATCTTATTAAGAGTATAAAATACTATAAAACTTTTATATAAAACATTTTTTGTACATCTCATAGTTTTGAAAATATTCACTGAAAATGAAAAAATCCGTTACTTTTGAAGAGTTGTTTCGATTTCTAAACCTTAAAATAAACAAATAAAAAAATATAAGTATAATATTTTTTATGCTCTTCAACGTCTAAAGTCTATCAAAATTGATGAAGGAAAATTTATTTGTTAATCCAGTAAGCTAAGATCATTAACGATGTTTATTCTATAAATAGATATATACTCGCAAATATCTGATAGTAATGGACATATGATACACTGGAGGTTCGCCGATTATCTGAAAGAGGTTCTATCTTTAACCGCGGCGGTCTACGAGTCCCCGTCATTTGGATATTCCGACGGTCTTGCTAACTCCATTTTTCCCGCGGTATGTACGCGTTGTACGTATATGTGCAGTTGCTCTAATACATTGCTAGATTAAACAGATAATGCTTTGTATGTGGCAGAACTCCAAAGTCACCGTAAACGACTTCCTGGATACGCTTATGTCAGATCCTGGACCACACTGCTTAATCTGGTTGCCGTTATATCACAGAATGGCGGCCGTGGAAACAGGTAGTTGTGCGAGAAATTAGCGACTAACAATAAAATCGATCGGCGGATGAGATTTTCATTCTTTGTGTTTGCAGTTGCTCATCCTATTATGTGCGATGCTTGTCACAAAGAAAACTTTACCGGGTTCCGCTATAGATGTCAGAAGTGCCATTCGTATCAACTGTGTCAAGACTGTTTCTGGCGTGGTAAAGTTTCAGGAACGCACAATAACGATCATGAAACGAGAGAATATAGTAGCTTTGTATGTATTTTCGTTATTTATATATTTCGAAACATTTCTTGCATTATTTAATTTTTAATGATGAATTTTTGTCGATAGAAATCACCAAGCAAGCAGATTGGCCACTCTCTGCGAAAGAGCTTTAGATGTGTTCCTGAGAAGGGAAAGAACAGTCTACCGCGATTCCCGGAACAACCTGAGAAGACGCTAGATCTATCGCACATAGTGTTAGTATCTTTATTGTTCGCATAACATTACAATCGCTCATTGTGTCTTAGCATTATTTTACAATCCAAATAAATTCACTACGTTCCAGCCCACCGTCACCTTTACCATCTCACAACGGTTTTCCAGATCCAGGGTTTATGGCTCCCTTTGATTCAGGATCGGTGGATAGTCGTTCGACTCTGAGAAGGTAAGCTCGAATGAAATTCTAATTTATGCACAATTTATTTGCCTTTGCCATTTGCGCGCAGACGCCATGCTTTACTTATTCCTTTTGTATATCGTCCAGTATGGACAGTTCAAGACTGGACGATGAACATAAATTAATAGCACGATATGCACAAAGGTTGGCACAAGAAGCTAGGACCGTGGTAAGTCCTTCAAAATTTACATACATTTTACGCTTACTATCTACATCACGCGTTATAATTTGCTTAATGTTAAAAGCGCGAATGCTCTTGCTATTATCTTAATCTTAAAATTTACAAAAGCCGTGAAAACCAATTAAATTATTCTACTGTTTCCATTATCGTGGCCACTCTCTGGCACTAATATTAATATTAATTTCATAACTGCCTCGTTAACAGCCTCGTACCGCGTCCAGAATGTCCCAGGCAGATCAAGCAGTAAGTAAATAAATCGTTTAGATTATCAGTAAAAATTCATATTGCAGATCGTTTCATCCGCGACAATATTTCTGATTACAGGGTCGAGCACCGTCGGACGTGAATCTGGCATCGTTAGATGCGTCACGGGCGCAGCGTGAGCTTATATCGCAGTTGGAAGCGAAGAACAAGGAGATAATGCGCGAGATAGCAAGGTTAAGGTATACCTGTGTCGTTTATATTCCTTTATATCAAACCTAAACCTCGATTTCATCCTGTTAACCCATCCTAGGATCACGCATGTTCAAAACGTTCTGTTTCGCTTTGTGTTACCTTGGTTGCATAGCCTGCACAACGAAACAGAGAGAAACAATACATATTTATATATTGCCATTAATATCCATTTCTATATTAATATAGATTAACTTTAATCTCGGTTTAATTTAATTTTTATCTTTTTCTGATTTTTAGAACTAAAAGATAAAAGATAAGATAAATCGAAATTAAAGTTAATCTACATTGATAGAAATGGACGTAACAGTGATAAAATTCGTGTTTAAATGAGTTCATTAACATCGAGTATTCTTGATCTCTTTCAAATTGACTTATATATTCATTGAATTCATATATTCCCAGATAGTCAAGTCTGTAAAAAGCAGATTTTTTTAAATGTCTGCTACACACTATGCTAACAAAGTAGCAACAGAATTGTTACAGAATTAGATGTACATAATACTATTGACAGACTGCTAGAAAAAAAACATAGCAGAATCAGATAATGTCGGCAGGATCTGCTCAGTTTCTGCCAACAATTTGCCTTCACATTATGTCGATAGGCGATGTTAACAGAACACAAGCCTAATGCGGACGCAGTTGATGGCAGACTGCCGTCATTTTCTGCTCGAATCTGCTGACAGTCTGCTAGAAGACTGCGGACATTTTGCTATCTGGGTTAATACATTCATATATTACATTAATCACACATCACAACGCTTATAAAATAAATGATTGGAAGTGGAATATTATTATGTTTTAATAATTGGAATATGTGATTCCACTTCCTTGTGTTAAATCGTGTCTAACAATTTCTCAAGAAATTTTTTATTCTCGCTACAGAAGGCAACAGGAGATAGAAGCCGCGGGTTTAGAAAATCCGGCGCTAATGTCAGAATTGCGAGCTTTGAGGCAGCGAAAGGACGAACTAGAAACGCATCTGGCGACGTTGCAAGATTCCAGAAGACAACTAATGGTGCAGTTGGAAGGTTTAATGAAAATGTTAAAGGTACTTTCACGAACATCTTACAAGACTGCTTCTTTAAACGGTTAAAGTTAAATGGGTTCCAATTCTCTGTCTTTGAAGATGAAACTAGAAGGAGAACTGATGAAATATGGAAGTTTATAACAAAGGGATACTATAGTTTCACGTAAACAGGAACGTAATTAGTAACACAATGTTATCTACCTCGATAGAATCATCAAGCATCGCCACGATCAACACCAAACAGTTCGCCACGAAGTACGAAGTCACCGCCTTTGCCACCTGGTGCAATACCAAGCAGCAGATCAGCACCACCGACTCCCGGCGGGCCTTTGTCTACACCTCAACAACAACAGCAGCTGCAACAGCAACAGCAGCAACAGCAAATGCAGCAGCAGCAAATGTCGCAACAAATGTCTCAGAGCTATCAAAATCCCATACCGACAACAACAGTGGCTAACGTGCAAGGCAACGCTATGCTCGGCACGATACAGAATCCCATTCCAGATAGCTTGTCGTGTGTTGGCGGCGATGTAAGGTAGGCAAGCATGCACAAAGAGAGAATATATAAACGAAAGGATAGAACCTTCTACAGCGCGAAAAGAGCGAAGCAAAGACAGAAAATTATAAACAGAATATGCGTGATACATAATTGTACACGTAATTTATATAATATATATAGAATAATATATTACATAGTCAGAGCAATTTGTTCACTTAGACATTCCAAGCGAACTTTAGAAATCTATGTACATTCCATGTACATAAAATACATTCTAATAATATAGGTCTATAATTAGATTGTGTAGCTAAACAAACATTAATTATATCAATCAATATTCACAATAAAATAATATCATTTAAAAATAACAATTTTATGCCACACGTCGCATTGAATTTAATCCTTCCAAATTACTATTGATTGAATAATTGTATTGTAAAAGGAAATCAACTTTGAAAAACGCTCGAAAAGCAGGTTCATCACTTATTAGACGGAATATGTACCTCGATCATGTGTTCATTAAAAATTAATTTCTCCTGTCAACATTATTGTAGCAATTGGCATAGAGATATTATTGCACAGTATACAGATTTCTTCACAATTAGCTAAAGAAGTCCTAAATTCTCCTGCATGCGAATATGAGCGATTTCTAATTAAGCTAGTATTAAGAACAATGTGGTACTAGCGCGAAATAAGTGAAAGTACCTCATAAAATGTTAAATCGTCAGATTTATATCGACTTATAAATATATATAGTAGATATATTTGTATATCCCATGTCATGTCGCTTTTAACCCTGTTTGAATAATTTCTTTTAAGTTTTATTAGGTTCGAGATGTAAGTTTCTTACACGAATATCCTCTTTTAGTTTGCTACCATTATTAGTCATCTTAAATGTATCATTTTTATGTACAGTACAAAAGCAACTATCCTGTAAGGAAAATACTGATGCGTTGGATGTAAAGTTTGACGCGTATAAGTTACCCATCCGATCCTTTTTTTCTGCTCTAAGCTTGTGTAAAAACACCATCCACCTTTAAAACATTGTTATTTCGTATTTATTACGCAAGCGCTGCGATATGTAAATATTATCGTCCTGCAAGTATTGTACCAGTCAAACGCAAATACCTTAATAGATCGGAAACGAAGCATTTGCGATGCGTTCACAACTTTGCCATATTGATATATTTTTGTTAGATTACAGTATATTAGACACCAATAAATATCGTAGCTTCCTGAAATCGTGCATGTGTGTATTGTTATAATCTCAATGAGTTGCTAATTTTAATTTAAAACTTTGTAGACGCTTATATGCCTTGGTCGCGAGTAACTATAGCGAACTGGATGTGTAAGAATTACGTTAAGCAGATTGAATAATGCTTGTGCAATAAAAATTGCATGCTGCAATTTTTGTTTAAACAACTTTTTATTTGGAAATTGCTTCGCGCCAAGAAAATAGAGATTTTCGATGTCAGGTCTGCGTTCAGGACAAACAGCTTACCAGGGAGCGGTTCCAGCAGTGCCAATAATAGTTTGGGCCGATCCTTAAGAAATGACTTACTGGTAGCTGCCGACAGCGTTACTAATGCCATGTCAACGCTTGTGAGGGAATTAAATTCAGGTATGTTGAATAATAATGCGCTATAAAATCAATTAGTATCAATAATAACAATTGATAAATTGGACGTGGATGTATTGGGAAAGCAGAAATTGATTTTAAAATATATTCTTCAATTGAGAATATGTTATAACGTATTAGAAAAACAATTGAGAAGAAAATATATATATATATATTATAATTGAATAACATATGAAAGATATCTTTTGAATTTCTAAAATTATTATCAAATGTAATACTAACGAAAATTCGCTTGACAAAGCTACGTCCAATTCTGCTTATAGTTTTAAATAGTATAATTACACGATACCGCTCAGCATATTTTTCGTGATATAGTACGTTACACTCATACATAGTTGGTACATAAATTTCGCAAAATATAGGTATTACTATCTCACAAACAGAACTGAAGGTAATTTTTAAGAGGCAATATAGCGCCTCACGTCGTGAGTTGTACAGATCAATTTGATATTGCAAGCTTTTAGCTACGAAGTATGTTAGCATCTCTATGCCGTGTTTTTTAGCTGATGGCATGTTAGTAATACGGATTACGATTTCGTTATTAGTGGCACCGTAAATATGTCAAATTGTCGATTGTCTCGCAGGCGAGGTGAGCAATAGATAAACTGATCTGCATTCACCATATCATCGTAGTATTTATACAACAAAATCATGTTTATTAATACTACACTGTTTCATTACTATTGCAACTATTTTTGCTCCTGCTACATGTATCATTATTCTCACTACCACCACATTATATACACAGATGTATATATATATATATATTAATTAGTTGCGTGTTTCATGCCATTTTATGAGAAACGTTTCTTCTTCACCTTCATTCTAAACGTATAAAATAAATAAAACAGATATATTTTCAATTTTTCTAAATGGTATGCTAATTTCTCGCACATCATACGTATTATTTTATTGTTTTAACTCGATTTAAAACTGCAAGAAATAATATAACACAGGATTTATCTTTCAATTACTTGCTGTGTACTAATATTTATCTTTGAAATATTTTCAATCGTCGCATTTGAACTGAATGTACAGGCATGCCACGTCGCATTTATTTATATTTTCTCATATTATCAAAAGATCATATAGCATGAAAAAGATGCGACTCTTCGTCTGTTCTTAGTCTTGATATTCATAGTCGATTTGTAAGATGATTCATAAAATGCTATCTATACGTGAGATATATTTCATTGGATATACTTGAATCGAACTTGAATGCACCTTTATGTATATACGTTTATATTCTGGAAAATCGCGTAAGTATAATAAAATATTCGTTGCAGGAAAATGAATGATGATTGGATCGACGTGAATCCTATCAATCCAATAGTAAATATGGAGATAAGTGATTCTAATATCACAAGATCTTGCATTATACATAATTTTTATGTAAATTTTCAATAATATAATAATGATTATATACGAAATAATATACGAAGCTCTTTCGATCCAGAAGATGTAAATATCGAAATATACATATGGTCCCCTATTAAAAACTATTACACTTCCTTCCAGCAGTCATTTTGACGCGCGCGCGCGAGAGATACAAAATATTTTTTCCTACTTAAATTTGAAAACTATTATTTTTTTCAAGTTTAATTGTAAATTTTATTTTATATTTCAATATCTAATAATCGAGAGAAAGTGTAATAACCTTGGGATTCTGTGTATATTTTCTTTATACAGTTTGTTTCTAAAACGTTCAGCAACTTAGCATTATATTAAACAAAGTAATGAGAAAAGTTTATACAAGTAAAGACTACAAATCGTCGTCTCCAGATGCAAACCGTATGCATACGAACCTTCCTTATTACTTCTGTTAGTAAGTGTAAGTGCTAAAGTCAATCTGAACGGTTGGAAAATAGTCTGTATATTGCCTGTTGCCATTTCTACGGTTTCATTTATTTTCTTTCTAGAATAGAGTTAGTTAATATTAGCCTAGTGGAATAGCACACGGATTACATTACACGCAAGACCACAGATGACAACAGCAATCTAATTCACAATCCCAAGAAATTCCGAATACACATTAATTGTTAAGAAAACTTTGAGATTCGGGTTATTTATTAATTAAACTGACGAAATCGTAATATGATATAAATGTAAAACAAAAAATTAGAAATTCAAAATTACCTAAGTTTAAGAAAGCGGTACACTATAAAAATTAAAAATAAAGACGAAACTATAAAAAAATACTTTTATGTGAATAAGGACATATACAATCTGTCTAATAAGAGCGTGATCGGCAAAACTGTTCATTACATCGAAAAGTCGAATAATTAAGTGAAGTCTTTGGAATCTGAGCGGATCATAAATATCATGAGAATATGAATATCAATTGCGAAATACATAATAAGTCAAAGACATAAGCAAGTGATTGAGACAGTTTGAAGAAACAAAAACTCAATGATTTACCGGAAAACGATAGATAAAGAGGATGAATAGACATAATTTTTACCAACCTTTAAAACTGAAGAAAATGAATATTGATATCTTTTGAGAGCATTTGAAGTCCTTTACGTGCAAATAACTTTAAAAAAAGAATCTATCGGCTCATTTTAGTTTATTCCCATGCTCTAATTAACAGACTTCTCCAACGAATTGTTATAGCCAGTAAAAATAGGACTGTTTCTCAAAACAAGGATTTAATACTTTATCCACTTGAATATTTTGGATACTTTGGATGATTCAAAACATCGAAGTCGTTTTTGCATCCAATAGAAAGAAGAAAATAGCATCGAAGTGTTAAACTGGCCAAAGTGAATTCAATCGAGAACGTCTAAAAATAAAGCTTCGTAAAAAAAGATATGGACGACGAAACAATTAAATTGGATAAATTCGTTTGATATGGAGATCTTTACCTAGAGAATATACTCTATCAAGTAAGAAGTATGCCCAGGAGATTCCAATATCGATAACGGCAACGACTAAACAGCTTAAAATTATATAGTAAAAGCGTCGTAGCATTAATTAAATAATATGTGCAATTTTTTTTTCATTTTATTATGAAAAGCAATTTTAAAATTATATCACACTCTTATTATACAAATTGTATGTATACCTTCTTAATTGAATTTGACCGCGACAAATAGACATTCCATTATACTATATATATACAATATACAAATGACACTTTAGACGTGTTGTGGAATGTGTGTGATGCACCCCCCGTGAATGTGTCCTGGTGGCTTGCAGACTCAGACCAGGAGGACCATTCTCACAACTCGGGGCTAATGAACATCAGAAAACCGTTAGGTAAGTATCTCTACATCGACTTTAAGACTTTCATTACTCTTTTACTTTCGTTTGCACTTTAGATTTTCGCAATGTCGCTCTTCTAATTGAAGCAACCCTCAAATTTTTCAAGCGCTGATTATCTACAAGTTTCATATTAATATTTCGGTTTAATTTTTTCTTTGGTACTTTCAACATTACTTTTGCAAAAATCAAATTGTACATATTTGTACATACAATATATATACTCGTATTCATATTTAATAACATATCTCTACATTTCTTTCATCTTCATAAGCATCACGCACACAACTATGATGTATACTTCTGACGATAATATTAAGATAAGTCATCCTACGGATTTTTGTCGTATATCTTCATAAATGATTATTCTTATTCGTCTATAGTTATAAGTCTATGTGCAAATACCAGATAATATACGACTACATAAACCTTCGAAGTTGAGACCTACTTGGGAAGACAATGAGAGAGAGAAATGGAATTAAATTCAGCGAATATAGATATGCTACTTTATCTTTTATCGTTTGAATTGAAAGTAACAAATAACCGCAATATTTGTGCGACTGAATTTTGAAACTAGTCGCGTCTACTTATAGACTTTGAAGCCGGTGAGGATGGCGATGATAGTAGCGGCGGTGGAAATTCATGGCGAGAGGAACTACAACGACGTTATCAGCAGGAGAATGACTTTTTAGCAGAATTGCGATCTCGTAACAGCATACCGCAAACACCGTCGGCTACATTGTCCAGCGAACAGGAGCAGGAGAGAGGCGAGAGAGAAGAGGCAGACGGTGAGAAGGAAGACGAAGATGAAGCCAACTGGGCAGAAGCGGTGAAGAGATGGGTTAATCGATAAACTGATCCAACGAGAAGTATCACAGATGTTAGGTGTGAAAAAATACGAGTTTAAGGAATCCGGTGAAGAAAATGTGAGCGATTGAATCACATACATACACATACACACTGTGGACTAATACTTCGACATTAGTATACAATATAATCTTAGGGAGAATTGGATGTTGTACGATTTCGAAAATCTATGCATTTTGTAAGGCGGTACTTGCAGTCGAAAGACGACACGAAAATCGACGAACGAATTGTACGAAACTAAGTACCGTTATTCATTCTTAGAATGGCATTTGTATCGCGAGCATACAATGATTTTGCTACTCTGTTTATTTGCAATTTGTAATAAGACTCAGAGTTTGTTAAATATACACACATATACATATATATAAATACGATTCGAAAATAAGCATTTGCGTTTTATTATATTTTTTATTTATTGTTATTGTTATTACTATTTGTAATTACTATTAAGCGAATTAAATGCAATACACAAGAGTACTGTACGTATATATCTTGTAATTCCATCGCTTTAAAGCTAGTTTAATTTTAAGGGAGCATATATTTGTACATACTTAAAACAATAACTGGTAACTGACGATATGGTTTTATCATCTCGCAATATTACTAATTCACAGACGTTTATATTATATCATACAAAAAATTTTGCACAAGTTGCCATATTGACCAAACCTGAAATAATTAATTATAACAATAAGAGGCGATTGCAATTAAATCAATTTTTTAATATATCACAAGTTTAGCAGAAACTTGGTTTGGAGAGCCAAAGTGTGTTTTGTACATTCGTACCAGCGCTTGACGTACAATAACGCTATTAAAATAAAAGAAGTAATAATATATAAACGAGTATAAAAATATTGATGCATTAGATGACGCTTCGAATGACAATTTGAATTCGTTCGCATTTACAATTGCAGAATACGAAAAAGTAGAAAAACGAAATTAGTCTTACGTACAAAGTACTCGTTTTTCAGTTTCTAGAACATAAGAGAGTATTCCGATTAATATCCAATTGTTAAAACACGACTGCTATTGATAAGAACCAATGCGTTTTGTAACATTTAATGGCATGTCCTGTCTGCGAGATATCCTGTGTATATATACATATGTGACGTCAGAATTCCTTTTGTCTATCTCTTTACGTATGAAAATGATGTAGCGCCTATGAAAACTGAATAAAAGTTTATAGACATATATCTAAACGGTCAAATGGTCTTAATCCCTCGAGAAATGAATTCGTCATTCTAAAAGCTTGCTCTATATTTTTCATAATTTACATTGTTTTATATTCTTGGACATATTTTTGGCACATAATAAATTAAACGTTAATTAATGAAAAAACATATGGAACTTAATTGGGCAGAATTACAAATGCCTTGAGAATCGCGTGTAGGTTTTGCTTGAGGTAGATGACTACAGATGCAAACAGACATAAAATATTAGGTACCACGTATTTTTCCCCTATAAACATACTCTTGAAAAAATGACACGAACTTTCCACGGTACCTAATATACTTTGTATTAAAAATAGTTTTTAAATTAATAAATACATATTATCTTGTTACAACACAGCATTGACATCTACAATCATTAATATAAAAAAAATATAAACAATTTTTTAATATTAAGATACACATTTAGTGTTAATTTCGAAAAAGCGTAATATCTTCATTATTGATAGAAGATTCAAAAAATATATTAATTGAAATATCACATCTGCCGTATCATAAATTGTTTGTAGAAAAACAAAACAGTTAATTGTTGTAAAAAAATTAGTAAAGCTTCTTTATTATTTATATTTGCCCCCACTATTCTGGAACCTTTCTCTTTATAAATTGGAATTTTCTTTTTCTCACCATGTGTTCATACAACGTTACACGAGTAAGAGAATGAATGAAAAACAAAGAATATTTTTACTTAGTATATTATCAAGTGCAAAACCAATTGTGTAGTAGGATTATAGATAAAGAATAAAAATTGAGGAAGAGATTCCATTATAAAGAAATATAGCTCGAGCCTGTTTAGTAGAATTCTATTTTGTTTTCAATTAAAAAAATGTAGCAATTAACGTAAAAACTGTAGTATAAATAAATTTAATATTAAATTTCTTTTTGTACAAATGCTTAATTTATGGATAGTATCACGAAAGATTTTTCATTTTTTTTTTCAATGAAGTTTTAACATTTGATTGTGAACTTATCTCTGCGGTATTATTAACATTATCCTTATTCACATTATTTGTCTTCTCGCTACTGTTACCTAATTGCAAACCTAATCTTGCCTTTTTTGTAATAGTTGGACATTCGTCGAGTGTAGAATTAGGCATAGAATTTTCCTGGTTTGTATCAATGATTTCAACTTCTGCCTCTGAAGTCGATGAATTATTTTGATCTGCAGTTTCCTGTTTTGTGTTTTTTTGCTAAAGAATGAGAAATTAATTATATATGTAGGATTGAACGAAAGTGTTGTTTAAAATAATATAATTTTCTCGATAACAGAATATATATCTAATTATCCTACATATATAAAAAAATTTTACGTGCAAAAATTTGCATGCAAAAACTAAGAAAGGATTAATAATGGCGGATAATGAATTAAAAATTATGCCTTAATTTTTATTGTTTTAAAAAAATCTAACAATGAAAATATCATATTATGATACAGCATTATAAGATTTGGGTATTATTTCTATTTTTCAAAATGCATTATAAACTAGAACACAATTATTTGTATCACAGAGTAAAACAAAATTTGCGTTAAGAGCAGAACTAATTTCCATTACAACAGATTTCAGAATTAGTTTAATTACCTGGTTATGAATATTTGTCTTTATCTTGTCTTTTATATTTGTAATTAAAGATTTTTCATTGTAGCTTCTTTGATTGCTAGATTTGGAAACACAGTTTTGATTAGATGTAAGCAATTTTAGTTCATTAACTCGCTGTCGTAGCGCTAAATTTTCACTTTCGCAAAGTGCAAAACGCAAATCTCTGAAAATAGAAATAATATAATAGAAACAGTAAAATCATAACTATCAGATTTAACTATTTCAGTACTAAAAATATAAGCTCTTTTAGATTACTTGTCTAAGGACTGCTGATGCCTTGTAAGCTGACTTTCAAGATTTGCTATTTTTTTTGTTTTCTTTAATATTATCCTGAAATTACAAGCAAATTGTGTAAGATATTAAAATTAAAATATATTAAGACATATCAAGATATATAAAAACATACTTTTTCATCATAGAAACATAATTAATCAAAGTATTACGATCAGTCGTTTTTTCAATCATTTCCCGTACGTCCTCAAGTGTACTTGTTGACAGTGATTTATACATGCTACAAACAGATACAATAAAGATCAGTTCGAGCAATATGCTGGGGCGCCGAGTGGCTCGCCGCTCAGTGCGATTGATTCGCGATCTGTGGATCCGGATTCAATCCCACCTACGCCCCATATACGCATTCGCCGTTCGGATTCGGCATTAAACTGTAGGTCCCGTCGAGAGTTGACAAACTCTGAAGAGTGAAATCCTACTACCAGATTGAAAAACAAGCAATTTCTGTCCCCGAAGAGGCTATAAAGCAAATTGATAGGCATGGTACTATGATCCTTAAGCCTGTTTTACAATGTGCTCTTTGTTTCTTGTTTCTTGCTTTTTACCTTTTGCTTTTCCCCTAACCGTTTTATCGATAATTGTATTTTTTGCTACGTGTTTCGTGTTTCCTGTTTCCGCTGAAGTTCGTTAACTTTTATTTCGGGCGACATAAAATAAAAAACCGGATAAGAAGCAAAAAGATAAGATATAAAAAAACAGCAAAAAGCAAGAAACAAGAAACAAAAAGCACATTGTAGAATAGGCTTTAAGGGGTCGGAAAACCAAACAGGGGAAACAGAAACAGCAATACGCTGGTAATAATTAAATTAGACGAAACGATTGACTTAGATAAACATACTCTTGGAATTGCTCCACCTCTCTTTCTTTCTGAGACAGCTGCTTTTTGAGAACATCACACTCTTGATACTTCTCCTTAAAATAATTTATCTGTTCTTTTAAAGCATAGATAGTCGAGTTTTTCTGTCTCATTTCGCTTTCCACTTTTCGCACTTCTTGTCTAAGGCCAGCATTTTGTTTCTCCAGAACTGTATTTTTCGAAGTATAATGTTTGATATTTTTTTCACTCAGTAAAATTTGAAATTTGAGACTGTCTATCCTCCCTTGTAGGGTTAAATTGTCCGCATTAGCATTATCCGCTGCGATATCGGTACTCGAAACCGTAAAATGAGCCTTATGGATTTTTTCTACTGTCACTCCGTCACGACATTGCGGACAGGTCTTCGATCTATGGGACAAATACGTGTAAAATTAGTTGATCTGATCTGATTGAGTCTCCTTTACAAACAAAATTGGAAATCTCACGACGAAACAAAGAACTTGTTTTATGTGCATTATCCTGCAGCCTGCTGCAGCCCTTGCATTTAAAATGAAACGAGATATACGTTTCATTCCTGGGAGGAGGAAGAAGGAAGCACGATCAAATCTAATGGGTCAATTCTAAGCAAAATCGTAAAACTCGTAACGTGTTCTCGTAAAACTTGTATATAAGACCTTATGACTAGTATTCTAATTTTATGCGTATGTATCGTAAGACGTACGATTATTCGTAAATATCTACGATTTCTTATAATTAATTAATTTTATGGCTAGTAAGAAGCTGTCTGTAAAAATATCGTATAAGCACTTAAAAATTCTTACAAGTCTTACAGGAATATGTTACGAGTCTTACGATTCTGCTTAGAATTTAGGCATAAAGGTTCTTGCGATACGTATCTATCGCATAGAAATAGGTATAACCAATAAATCACGTTTACCTTTCGAGCCACTGTAACAGACAATGGTGATGAAATACATGTCCGCAACGAGTGAAAAAAATGTCTTTGGCTAATAATAATTGGTCTTGACAGATTACGCAAAGGATTTTCATTCTATAGACAATGAAAGTGAAAGCAAAGGGCACAGCAACCTACTCGTCTCAAACTCCAGCGTGTTTGTACTGCTCGTGCATGATCCGATCCATGATATATAGGCAGAAAGAAGCCTGACAGCGGCCATGTTCGGGATTTAGCTGCAACCTTAAAGTCACTAGATTAACAAAGTACCGCAAACTGCCGCCATTTTGGCTCCATGACGCGGTTATTTCAAACTTATGTATGAATATATATTATGTATTAGGAGGAGTTTTATGTATTAGGTGCCGTCCGGCAATAGGGGAACTCCTCTTATAAAGTAAAATAGTAAATTAGATATATCAATTTTCTTTGCAATTTTTATTTGTTTTAAAAAACATAAAAGAAAGGAACTCTTATATAATATAAAATATAAACAATGAAAAAAAATGAGTTAATTAAAATCATAAACGGAAGCCTTATTCGCTGCGGTTTTTGCAATTCTCAATACAGCAACCGGGCATTTTTGACGTTTTCTAACCAATTCATCTACACATTAGCTCTGTTCGACTTGCTTACACTTTTTTACACTTTTTACACTTAAAATGAGATAGATATATATTTGACGCTGAAAAGAGAGAAAGCGAAGATGCTGAATGTCAAAAGTGTAAGTAAGTCGAACAGATCAAATGTCACAAACGCATATAGGTTATAACATCCACGCCATTTTGACTCCAAAGTACGTCACTTCCGTTTTTCTCATCGCGGTACTTTGTTAATCTAGTGACTTTATGCAACCTTATTTTGAAGCGCCTCTATGTCCACAAACCGTAAACATTGAACTACGTAGCCAATGTCCACGATCCCGTCGGTAATGTCTATGATTTTTTGATTGTATTCTTCGCTATGTTCACGATTTTCGGTCCGTTAGATGGATAAAGACGAACAATCAATCTGTCGGCGCTTCTTGAACAAACGATTATTCATCTTTATCTAACGAATCGAAAATCGTGGATATAGCGAAGAATACAATTAAAAAAATCATAGACATTACCGACGGGATCGTGGACATTGGCTACGTAGTTCAATGTCCACGTTTTGTGGACATAAAGGCGCTTCAAAATAAGGTTGCTGCTAAAGGCTACGTTTACACCGTGCATTTAGGCCGCGGCCCATACAATAAATGTCTTTAGGCGGTATTCATAGTCGATTCTTATATTCAAGACCGACTTAAGTACAGTCTTAAGATATCATGAACCAATCAGAGGGCCGTATTAGCATCTTAAGACATTACTTAAGACGATCTTGAAATAAGAACGGACTATGAATACCAGCCTTTGTTTATCCTGTATATTAAACAAAGACACCTATCGTATAGGTCGCGGTAAGCGCACGGTGTAAACGTAGCCAAATCCCGGACATGAGGCCTTCATCTTTCTTCCTTTTCTTTCCAGGAAGAAAGGAGAGAAAGAAAGATGAACTGGTGCAAAAGTTCAGCCAAAAAGAACAGGCCTATGGCCGCTCTGATGACTCCTGCACACTGGACG